GATAGGTAACCCAATGTAAAAGCTTATTGCAGAAGTCTATCCTTGAGATTACTAGCATGTGTCTAACGTCTTTAGATCCTCCAGCTCTAGGAAGGAGAACAGCTGGAGTAACAGCAGAAGCTGATAATAAACACTCCTGGTGGTCCATCTATCTGGGCCGTCATTTGAAGTAACAGATGTAGAAGCACCCTTAAGCTGTGAACACTAGGAAACACTTAGTGCTTACTAGGAAAATCTGAAGTCCTGAGAGAGTGAAAATATCCCTACGAGAAAGTGAACACAGTGTAGCTCTATCCAAATCATGTTCATTGTCTTGTGCACTGCATAAAATATTCTGCGTATGCTAGGATCTTTGGGGTGTGTGACATTAAAGCACCATTCCAATGACTAGTGCCTGGCTTAGATCTGTAATTATTCCTCATAATAAGCAAGTTGAGCAGGAAATAAGTGTTATAGCCAGATTGTACTTCGCTTAAATGCATGTAATATACTGGAAAAGAACATGCCACAGATTCCAGAACAATCATAAATAGGAAACAGAAAGGCTCTTTCCTTTGTATGCCTTAATCACTAGAAATCAAGCTGACTTGCTGAGGTTTTGCTGTTAAGAGATAGGAATTGTAAAATGTTTCAAATGTTCATAAATTTCATTATTTAAAGACTGCCTTATAGCAAAAGCAGTCATCTTGACATCTCACAGACATAAAATAAAAATATGACAACCAACACTATAAACTACAAATGGATAAAACTTAGCACTCAAACAATAAATAAGATAAAAAGCAGATCAAAGAAAACAGCACGTTTCTTTTAATCCACAAAGTTAAAACAGCATTAAAGGTCATAACGATACTGAAAGGAGGTTGGGAAAATGGAAACATCTTTGTGTGGCGCTGAAAAGACATAAAGGTAGGTGACAGGTCTCTTTCTCTGGGAGGGTCATGCTACGCAACCAGGTTACTACCAATGAAAATGCCCTTTCACTTGTAAATACCTGTGCTACTTTGCTTGGTAGGGCTGCCCAAAAAGGTCTCAGAGAAAGATGTGCAGATCCAGAGGGGTGCCTGTGAAAAGAAGTGATCATCCAAGTACTAAGATCACAAGCCATTAAACATATGCTCTAAAGTAGGGGCCGGCAACCTACGGGCCGAGGGCCGCTTCCGCCCCAGGTCCCCGTACTTACCGGCCCAGGCAGACCCCCGCCGCCGCTGCCGCTGCGCATTTTGGCCGCCATGCAGCTGCGACGTATTTACGCATGCAAAGGAGTACTGCGCATGCACAAACGAGTCGCGGTTGCCATTTTGGAAAACAAAATGGTACTCCTGCGCATGCGCAAATGTGTCGCAGCCGCCATTTTGGAAATCAAAATGGCGGCTGCGGCGCACATGGAGGCGGCTGCGGCAGTGCGCGCAGTGGCTGCGGCAGTGCGTGCGGGGGTCACGTGCGGTGGCGGGGGGTGCCGCCATTCCCCCCCCCTTGGCTCAGCGGAGGAGAGGACTTCGGGGGACCGGCCCCCGGCTCAAAAAGGTTGCCTAGCCCTGCTCTAAAGTGATATAGAAATATTAATTAATGTACCAATAAAATCAACACATTCTTAATTCTCCTTCTTTGTTATTCCCTTTAGCTCATCTTCTTTATATTTTCACATTAGTGACATAACTATCAAACACATACCAACAACTAGTCCTGTGATCTCTGATCTCTGCAGCCCATATAGTCATATCTACATTGGTAGTGTGTATTTATTTGACACAGGGTCTCTGCAGACGGGCCCTTTGCGGCATCCTCGAGGCAGGAATGGGGAGGAGCACCTGCATGCCAGCCGCCGCAACCCCTCCTCGAGGACATCTTAACACCATGCACCATTACGCACGGTGCGTGGCATCAGAACATCCTCCCAGCACAGTGTTTTGATGCACTGCACCGGAATGGGTGCAGAAGAGACACATGGAGGCTCTTGGGGCATCCTTTTTGCCAGCTCTGAAACGAGCAGCATTTTGCCTCTCTTTTCCGGGCCAGCAAAAGGGAGGATTGGGGCCAAGATATTGGTATCTGATATCAAGTCATTTTCCTGTTCTCTTTCTCTCAGAAAGTTGTACAATTTTGATATTGTCTTCTTTGAATCCAATAATATTTTATCAATTTCTGATTTGTTTTCTCCAAATTCTTCATTTTTTTTTGGTCTATTTTGAATATTTTACTAAATTGTAAGTAGGCAAACCAGTGCATTTCGGATCCATTTCTTTTAACTCATCAATCTCCTTTAGTTCATATTTATTACATGATGTTCTCTTTATTATATCCTTATATGTTAGCCATTTATTCAGTTCTCTCCACTTCCCAAAAAAAGCTTCTTGAGGTGATATCCACATTGGTATCTTTCTGTAAACTTTCTTCTTACATTTCTCCCTCATTTAGCAATGCTTTTTTAATTATGTGATGGTCGAATTCCTTATGTATAGTTCAGGGGTCTGGCCCCCCAAGGCCTTTGGATCGGCCCCCGCCACCCCCCGCCGCCACCGTCGCCTCCCGCTGACCCCCGCCGCCACTGCGCGCGCTGCTGCCGCGCTGCCACTGCGCTGCCGCCATTTTGTTTTCCAAAATAGCAGCCACGACTCGCTCGCGCATGCGCAGTACTCCACCACCATTTCCCCCCCTCAATCATCGGCCTGCAGAAGACCAGGGGGCCCCTGGATCGGCCCCAGGTAAGTGAAACTTGCTGACCCCTGGTATAGTTGCTTTATCATACCAGAGATAAGTGTGCCATCTGAGTTGATTATTAAAGCCTTCCAAATTTAATAGTTTAATAGCCACTTCCTTTTAAAACTAGAATATATTTCCTTAGACTGAGTTTTCTAACTACTGTATGCACGTGGTTCTAATAGCTTTGTCATACAGTTAAAAGCACACCGCATAACATGAGATCAGTGAATCATTCCCAGTTACAAATACCTTTTAACCATTGTTAGCATGCTAATATGTGTACACACTAATGAGTATGGAATTCGAGGTGTTGTTCACTCTGAGTCCAACATTCCCAAATGATGAAACAAATATTGACATCTAGCCAGATGTCTTCTCTGTCTAGGTCATAGCAATTCAGAATGAAAGGACTTCAAACTTAGATTCAGTCTGAGATTTGGTCCACAAGGGGGGGAAACAGAATGCACTCTCATATTTAATTTGGATTATTAAAACAGAATGATAAAAAAAACATACAGCTTTGTAATATAATAATAATAATAATAATTTGTTTTTATAGCCCGCCCCTCTGCACAGCAATCGGAGCGGGTTACAGCATTTTAAAACACACAAAGTTAAAACATTCCCTTGTCCCACAATCCAACCCTCCCATCCCCTTAAAACAGAATTAAACTAGAGAAAAGTTAAAATACAACAATACAATAAAACGATAAAACAATAAAACAAGTAATCAGAATAATAAAACAAGATAAAGAGAGGACAGGTTATGAAGGCCTTTTGGTCTGTTCAACTCATACTTTTTGTCCTCCTTCCCGTAATGAGTAAAATAAGTTAGAGTAATGAAGCAATAAGCTTGGGGATGATGATGATGATGATGATGATGATGATGATGATGATATAAGCAGAGAGTCATTGTTCATCTGTGTAGGCCAGGAGTAGAGGATAGGTGTGGCTCACCAAATGATGCTGGACAATAACCCTGTAAGCACTAACCAGTGCAGCCAGTTGGGAGCTGCAATATATAGTGTGCCAAGTACATGTATTAATACAAGAGTCCTCACTACTGCACATATAACAAAAGGAATCTTCTCAGGGAGAGTTCTGAACCCATGGAAACTGATTTTTGGTAAGCAGATTTATTGCTTTCACACATCAACACTTATAACTGACCACAGTAAAGATCTGGAAGGCTTGTATCACATGATGCGGCCCTTTGAAAACTTATGATTTTTGCATCATGATTTGCATCTTTCTGGATCCTATTATATTCTATCTCACTCCCACAACTGTGAAAATATGCTTATACCTGAGCGTTTATTATCACTGTGTGCTAATCCCTAAGAAGTGGATTTACAGATACAAAAGCTCATGAGAAAATAAAAACCAGGGAATCTTAAAGGTGTGGCTACATTTCTTTTTCTTGTTCCCCTGTCCCTTCCTTCTTTGAAAATTGGAGTTTGAGAGAGTTACTTTTTGGACAATTACCAGCCAGTACAGTTACTGGTCATTTTGGCAGGGGATTCTGGGAGTGTAACTTTCCATGAGCTCTGGGACTGGCCTAAGCAAAAAAAATATTTTTGTGGCCTCTGTCCTGAATAGTAAGGAATGGTCTGGCTCATTCAACTGCTTTTATCACACTTCTAAAGTGATAAAGCATTTACAGCAAATATTCCTCCAAATATACTTACTATTCAGTCTTGACACATTTACGCTGCATTCTTATACTCATTCACCAGATTAAGCCCCTTGAGCTTAATGTGGGTGACTTCGCAGGATATGTGTATAGGATTGTGCTGCAAATATATGTTATGCTGTAATTTAGCAGTAGTTGGGAAAAGGAAGAGGCTATATCTAGTATAGAGTTAGGAAATGTTATCTTTGGGCAACAGAGCCCATATCTTCCAGCCAGAACAACTTTGTGGGTATTTCGCTTGTAGGGCATTGCAATCCAAAAATGTAACTTTTCTAAGCACTGGTTTGGTGCCTCATATTTTTTAATGACATACCATGGTGAAGCAACATTGAATTATTAATAGGCAGTGTTGCTGATGCACCATTTTTTTTCCATGATCTGCTGAAGTTTCATCTGTGCTGCATTTATTTTGCATCATGTCAACGTACATCAGGGGAACCTATGACCCATTTTTGAAGGGAAACAGAATGTGTGAGTGAATGTTTTCCCAGAAGGAGTCCATCATCACTTCTTCACCAAATCCTTCATTTTGATTCGTTATAAGACAGATGTTCCTGAAAAAATAAAACTGTGGCAGAGCAATCTCATATTTAGGATTTGCTACTGCATAGTGGTGTAGTGGTTTGAGCATTGGACTACAACTCTGGAGACCAGGGTTTGAGTCCCAGCTTGGCCATGAAACCCACTGGGTGACCTTGGGCAAGTCATATGCTCTCAGCCTGGGGAGAAGCAATGGCAAACCTCCTCTGAACAAATCTTGCTAATGTCCAAAACATACTACAGAAATAATCCATCTTGAGACTGCTTTAACTACCCTGGCTCAGTGCTAGGGAATCCTGGGAAATGTAGTTTATTGTAGCACCAAAGCTCTCTGACAGAGAAGGCTAGATGTCTCACAGAACTACAGTTCCCTTCCCTAGCATTGAGGCAGGGCAGTTAAAGCAGTCTCAAACTGGATTATTTCTTCGGTGTGTTTTTGACCTAAGAATGGGTCTCTCTCTGAGTGTCGCCATAAGTCAGAAATGACTTGAAGGCACACAACACCAAGAGTGCCTTCTACTTATAAGCTCACATATCTTCTGGTATGAATGGCAGGAAGGGTATCCTGAAGATTTATGGATTGTATTTCTGAATTTTTGAAATTCAGAAGAGCTAATTTATTTTAGTAATTTAGACAGAATTTTGTTAAGAGGTAAAGCACTGTCTTCAGTCCTATTGGTAGTCCCAACTACAGTAGACCCATTTAATCAATTTGAGTTACATACCTGTTGGATTCTAATTCAACAGTTAATTCATTTAGCTGAGATTACTAATAGGATTTGGACCATAGACAATTATTTACTTGAATTTTTTTTTTAGAACATATCACTTTTTGATCAAGCATTATTTGCAGAGAAAGTATAAAATGTTGTGGGTTAAAACAATTGTTCTGGCTTCTTCTAGGCTGCATCCACACTGTGGAAACAATCCAGTTTGATATCACTTTAACTGCCATAAGCTCAGTGCTGGAATTCTGGAAATTGTAGTACTGTGAGATGTTCTATCAGACAGCTCTGGTGTCACAACAAACTACAATTCCTAGAATTCCGTAGCATTGAGCCATGGCAATTAAAGTGGTATCAAACTGGATTATTATTTATGTAATGCAGATGCAGCTCCAGTCATGCTATCCAGCTGTAACCTATCATCATCCCCATTCAATATAGCCAACGCTGTATTGGGTCATCCAGTGGCTGTGCTGAAAAGGGATTATGGGAATTATATTCTGACATATCTAAAGGGGTAGAAGGGACTAATGGGTAAGAGAACAAGGAAAAATAAGGCACAGATGGCTGACAATTTGCACACTTTTTATAAAAACTGGTGGATGGATGATTCATTTAAACAATGTACACAGAGGATGTGGTCATAAGGCCTTTGCAGACTGCCAGAAATAGTGCAAATTGAGTCCACTTTAAGGGTTAGGGTTAGGGAATCATGGGAAGTGTATTTTATTGTGGCACCAGAGCTCTCTGACAGTGAAGGCTTAATGTCTCAGAAAAAAAAAATCCCATGACTCCCTAGCACAAACTCTAACTCTTAAAGTGGACTCAATTTGCACTATTTCTGGTAGTCTGCAAAGGCCAGGCCTGAAATTGTGCTTAGGCTGGGTCAACTCAAGACATCAGTGAGACTATGGACGTTATCACACCTAGGGTCTCAAAGCGGCAAGAAAATATGCCTGGAATCAACCCAGCACCATTCTGGAATGGACCCCTGTCGTCAGAAAGAAAGCAGCATCATACCGGACTGGTGCTGGGTTGATTCTGGCCATGGCAGCTGTAATTCCTGAAGATCCCGGAATTCAAAAGAGCTGGGATGATGCCGGCATGATGCAGGGATGACGCAAAAAGGGGCGGGGTTTGCCGCAGTGTTGTGTGATCACAGGATCCAGGGAGCCGGCATGATGCCGGCATGATGCAGGGATGGTGCCGCTTTAGACCCAGTGTGATAACGTCCTATAATGTTTCTGCAGGTAAAGTGGAAAGAGGAGAACAGAGTCCCTAATTATTGTGATTCAGTTTTTAAAATGGCACATGGCTGCCCCACTTTTAACAGTAAAAAAATAAAAGGGCTTCTTTGTTTATAAATTCCTAGGAATACAGCAAAGGCACTATTGAAGAAGTTATTTCCTCAGGATATTTATAGTGCTCTCCTGCTAATATCTTCAGCTAGATCTTTTCACCTACGATGGCTTTGTTGCTTAGAGATAAATAAATGTGATCCTCATGGATGGATGGATGGAGTTAAGGAGGTTGCGTTGCTGACACCTACTGGGTTAGAAAGAAAACTTCACTGGTAGCAATAAGAGCATTCAGTTTCTTGGTTCATAGAGGTCCATCTTCAGAGACCTGCTCTTTTCCCAAGTAGGCACCTCATCACATGGGGGAAATCCCATGCAGAAACGGAATTTAAAAGCGGGGGGGGGGACCCGCAAAAGCAGGCTGATTTTCGCACACATCTCTGTTAAAGTGTGGTTAACCTGAATGGAAAGTAGTCAAAAGTTGCTCCTTTTTAATTTCGGGATTTTCTGAAAGTAAAAAGAAGTGGCTTTTGACTACTTTCCTTTCAGGTTAACCACAGTTTAACAGCGACATACTTTTGTGGGGTTTTTTTCTGTTAAAAACCCTGTTTCTGCATGGGATTTCCCCTGTATGATAAAGTCCTAGGTCCAGAAAAGAAGTGTCTTGTTCTCTCCCACTAGTAACTGAGGTCGTACTTATAAATAGTCTATATCTTTCGTGTTGTCTCTTTCTGCATAAATAATCTACAGTGTTCCCTCCATTTTTACAGGGAATCCATTCCGGACCACCACCACCACCCCCCAAAAATAGAAATTTGCATATATTCAGAGCCCATTGATTATAATGGGCACACGTGCCATTTTAATCCCTCCCCATCTTGCCGTGGACAAGACTGCGGACACCAAGTCCACAAATTAGAAGGGACAAATGTGGACCGATGCAGACGGCAAGAAAAGGGCAGCACAGAGCCGCCCCTAAATGACAGATTGGAGCTGCAGCAACCACACACTGTGGCCCTGATCCTCCTTTTTGCCACCCCCAAAAGAGTGGCAAAATGCCGCCCTTAGAGCCGCAGCCACCAGGAGGGTATCCTGACATTGCTCGCCATGCAGATGGGCGCATGGCATCAGGACGGCATTGGGGCAGCTGGCGTGTGGCTACCCTGCCCCAACTCCACCCCCAGACCGGCCCTATGTGCTGTCTGCATCAGCCCTGTATGTGTTTCATGTTGGGGCTGTAGGGTGAAAATCTCAATGTGCAAAACTTCTGATTTCTTTTGCTTTTTCTTTTGTTTCTGGTAGAGCACCATGGATGCGCTTCCAAACATTAAGGACTGAATCCACAGGGCCTGTACTGTCAGCCACAACTCTAGTACAGTGTGCCCTTGGTATCCACTGGTGTTTGGTTTCAGGACCCCTCCGTGGATGCCAAAATGCTCAAGTCTTATTATATACAATGAAGAAGTAAATGGGGTCCATTATATAAAATGGCAAAATCAAAGGACGTTTTCACACGGGGCAAAAAAGGGAGTCATTCCTACCTCCATCCGGCCCCACTCCGGCTCCGTGCAGGAAAAGTTCACACGACGTCGCAGCAAGCCCCTCCTCATCCTTCGCCATCCCTGCGCCATCCCTGCCTCACTCCGGGGTCTTGCTCTTCGTGTTCATACGACGTCGCAGCAAGCCCCGCCCCATCTTGCGCAATCCCTGCGCCATCCCTGCCGCTAGCCGGCTTTAGCCCCATCTTTTTAATTCCTTTTTTAAAAAGGAATTACAGGCGCTTCTGCCGGAGGCAATCAGGAGTCATTCCGGCGGCTGCTGTTTTCGCCGCCGGAATGACTCCTGATGGCTTCCAGGGGGCTTCCAGGCGGCTTTAGAGCCGCCTGTGTGAAAACGTCCAAAGCTTGCTTTTTTGGAATTTATATATCCAATTTAGTATTTTCAAGCCATGGATGCATGAATCTGTGGATAAAGGACCCATGAATAAAGATGGCTAAGGATGTAAAATGAGGATGGAAGTGTCTAACCAATTCTTCCTTCTTGTGGGCTAGAGAGATTATAAAGGGAGCTTTTGACTTGGCAATTATATGATCACAGAAGGAGAGTCTATCTGGTATAATGGACAGACTTAACAGGATTTAGGGCCCCTACAGATGGGCCCTTTGGGCCATCCTGGAGGCAGGGATTGGGAGGGGCAGCACACCGGCCACCTCAAACCCTCCCTGAAGATGTCCTGATGCCACGCACTATTACACATGGCACGCCGTCAAGATGTCCTTCTGGCGCAATCGTTTGATGCGCTGCACCGGTACGGGTACTAAAGAGCTGCGTGTTGGTTTAGGGTGCCCTTTTTGCCAGCTCTGAAAGGAGCGGCATTTTGCTGCTCCTTTCCAAGGCGGAAAAAGGGAGGATCAAGACTGAAGCATCTGGCAGCCTTGGGCTCGATCCTCCGCTTCCCAGGGCAGCTCAGGGCTGCCCGTCTGCATCCCCCCTTAGGTTCAAAAATCAACTAAGAGCTTATTAAACCAGCTGAGACAAACTGCCTCAAGTGGTAAGTGTTGAATGGTAGCAGGATCTTCCTGGCATTTCTGTTTGATTTTTCTGGCTGCTGATTACAACTGGAGGATGGAACTCTGTGTACTGTACTATATACCCTGTGCCTTTCAAGCTAAACTGCTGTCCTCAGGCACAGTAGACCATGGTGTACCTTCACCAGTAGTGGCGTACAGTCTGCAGACCAATTCAAGTTTCCTAAGGCTTCAGCCTTTATTAAGGAAACCAAAATATTTAAATATCAAAAAATGATATTTTATGGTGATATAATTAATTATAATATGGCATTGAGGTTGAGACTGAAGCTTGTAACATAATGTGTAGCCGAAGCTTAGGAAGTAACTTTTATTTAGGAGAAAATCTTTTGTTTGTGTGAGGAGAAACTTCCCAAAATGGGGAGCGACATGAATCATATGGTTTGTTTACCAATATGCAAAGTTATTGCCCTGTGATTCAGTAGGAGCAAATGAGATGTTTGCAAGAGGGGGAGACAGCAGGATTTGTATGCAGGAAAATCTATATATGTGAGGAGGGGAAGAAAGAATCCAAAAAATCTTCCA